GCTTTCCACGCCCCCCCCCCCCCAGGCTGCGTGGCTGCATTTTGCCTGGCTTCTTGGTTGCTTGTGGTTCTGAGGGGGAATCACTGGATGAGGCCATTTAGCAGGAGGGGGTAGAGTTGACTGAGCTGTCACCATCACCAAGTTGCAGGACAAAGGGTTGCACCACCGACTCCAGTGGTGTGCCCTGCCCTGCATCCTTCTCAGCCATCAGCAAAGTCAAACAGTGGGTTGTGAAGGATGTCCCTACCCATGCTTGCTAGACCTCGTGTCTGTAGTTTATGTGGTCCCTGCCGCTAAACAGCAACATGGATACATTTGCTTCCACGTGATGGAGGGCAGGGATGGCCTTCTGAATGAAAAAATTACTCCTACATCCAACGGCAGGATTAATAGTAGAGGAGGAAAAAGAAGTAGGCATATTTGCACCTGATGATGACACTGCACTACCCTGCACCTGAGAGAAGGAGGAAGATAATTAAGGGTATTGACACCATCACCTTCTCTGCATGCTCTAGGTCAGGGGTGCCCATTAGGTAGATCGTGATCTACCAGTAGCTCACAAAGTTGATGCTGGTAGATCACGATTGTAAGTCGGCTCCAGGGCCGGCCTTAGGGGTGTGCGGGCTGTGCGGTCGCACAGGGCGCCATAGCAACATGGGCGCCTGGCGACCGGCACAGATTCAGTAAAAAAAAACTCATTAATAATTGCCCTCCGTGCGGGCGCTTGACAGTTTACATAGAGCAGCGACTTTAGGTTGGAGGGCTTAGCACGAAAGGAGGAGAAGTACGAGGTCTAGCTTCCCGGTGTTCTGTAATATTGCAGAGCAGCGACTTTAGATAGAGCAAGGAGAGACAGCCAGGAGAGAGAGGAGAGACAGCCAGGAGGATGAGCAAAGAGAGACAGCCAGGAGAGTGAGCAAGGAGAGACAGCCAGGAGAGCGGGGAGAGACAGGAGAGCGAGAGTGAAGGAGCGCGAGGGAGGGTTTTTTCATTGATTGATCTCATGTAGCTCGTCATTTAAAAAGTAGATCTTAACACAAAAAATGTGGGCACCCCTGCTCTAGGTGTATAGCATGCCCACTACCAGAAGAGAAAGACAAACATGCCTTTCCTCTCAAGGGTGCGGCCTAACCATTGCTTTGACATATGAATCCAGAACTTGCTCACTTCCTAATAGCTGCATGTGGAGAAAATCTCAATAAATGGTTACTTTTCTATATATTTTGTGTTGAGATAAGACGGTAGCTTTACTACTTTTCTATTGGGCATATTTATTTTTTCACGTGGAGAAACTCTGCGTTTTTTCCCCCCAACTTTGTGTTGACATTGTTTTAATGTTTATCAACAACCTAAGCACAGAAGCAAGAAAGACCATCTTAATGTAAACTATTTAAGGTGACATTAAAATCAGGAGTTGAATCTTAAAAATGCATTCAAATACCAAACTATTGACAAAAATGTATGTTATTTGTGTATCACTCGGCTGTAAATCCTCAAATCAAGGCCTATGCATTCCTGGTTTACATGATTCCCTTTGCAGGCAGCTTGCAACTCTTTCCCAAGTGAAACTTTCATGGACTCCATGCAGGACTAATACTCCTATGAAATCAGCTATGGGTGAGATCTCACACTCTGAAAGCCTTTTGTTTCTTGTCTTGCTTGTGGAGTGACTATACATGTTTACTTGATGTGGATGGCACATTCAGGATAACCTCTAGTACCTGGAGTGGTTTATACAGTGCATTTACCTCACATCCTATACTATCCATCTTACAATGGAATGATGAAAGTATACTGAATTTTTATATTCTACATACAGGCTATACAGGATTGTTGGATGTCAAATATTACCCACATGGACACTGTGTAATGGGGTACTTGTAGTATCAAGTACATCAGGATGCACAGGGTGTCATCACCATACTCCTATGAAGTTGTTCCTGATATACAAATTCAGTTCTGGAGATTCTATTTATCAAACAGCACTCCACCAACCAAAGTCTTTTCAGTGGATTTGTTTCCATAGTATGCCCTCTTGAAGGAATGGATTCCACTTATGTGTACACATAAATATCTAAGTTGGCTGCTCATCATGCATACATATGCTTCCATCCCAAGTGGATGGTGATAAGTAATTACTTATCTTACACCTGGACAATCATCAGTAATGCTCACTGAGCCGAAATGTTTTTTCATTTACCATCTGTTTTGTTTTGTCTTTTATGTGGGGGGTTTATGGGGATCAATGTCTATTTTGGAATTGGATATTTGCACATATATGTAATTGGGGCCCTTTATGGGGGTTTAATAAAACATTTATATTTTTCTATATAAATATACAGGTTATAGCTTTTTTTAACCATTGACTAAAACAAAC